TCCGCCTCGCCCTCCTCCTCCTCTCCGTACTTTTCCGCCCTCTCATTATTCCGCCGTCCCCCTACCCACCCACCCACCCCCATCCCGCCCTTGCGATTGCGATTCGCCAGTTCCTCCCCCTCTCGCCATCCCGCCCTTGCGATTGCGATGGCGATGGCTTTTCCTCCCGCCCCCCCCCCACTTCGGTGTGTGGAAGTGCGGTACAAAAAGGGGCACGCGATGGGCCTTGCTCGGCACGCCCGCGGACACAGGATTTGGGAAACAACTTTTGCGCAGTGGGAGGGGGCGAGCCGCCGCGTAAAACAAAAAAAAAGACGAAGGTCTTGCTCGGCGCACTCGCGGCAGCTGGGCCCGGGCAGCGGGCAGCCCGCCGCTGCCCGAAGGGCGCGAAACCCCGCGAACGCGGTGCGAAGAGAGGTCCTGCTCCGCGCGCCAATGGCAGCACTGTGTTGGGCGCGGGGAGCTCGCCGCAGCCACCGCGGTGCGAAGCCGCCGCGCGCCCGCCACGTCGGGCCAGCGAGCGCCGAATCACATCGCGGCGAGGCAGAGCGGGCGGAGGGGACCGCTCGTGCTTCCCAGGCCTCTGCCAGAATCTAGGTCACCGCGCCTCGGGCTTGGCTGTTCTGGCAAGGGATTTCCGGGCCCATGTCGACCCCTGCGATGCGACTCGATCGCTGTCGGCGCCAGCAGGGCCGATCCGATCGGGCTCTGACACTCCCACGATCCTATGCGGCCCGAAGTCTGCATTGCTTCCGCTGTTGCGCAGCCTTGCGCGCCTGACCATGTCGAATTTGATGGCGAGCCGATGCAGCCCGATCCGTCGCAGATGCCGATACGATCCGACGTCCCGATCCGACGCAGATTCATCTTTGAGCTGCCCCTGGTCGACAGAGCGCGAGAGAGAGAGAGAGAGAAAGAGAAAGAAAGCGAAGGAGCGAGAGTGCGAAGAACGTCGCGTTCCGCGCAGCGCGCAACGCACAGCGCGAGGCCACGCGAAGCCGTGGCATGGCCGTGGGCCCGGGAGTGCCCAGTTCTCTTCCTGGCCGCGCGTGCCCGCGTTCCTCGCGGCCCCCGGCCCCCGGCGCCCGGCCTGGGGGCGCGAAGCCAGCCCGCGCCTCGCGCGCCGCAGCCTGGGCCAGAGCTGCGGCCCTTCGCCCAGGGGCGAAAGCCGGCGATCCGACGCTCCAGAACAATTCAAAGATTGGAGCGGGCGGTTCCAGGTTACTTGGGGCCGCTGGTGGCCTTCGCCGGGCCCCGGGGCCTTCACGAAGAGCGATCCGGGACGACAGACCGGTCCCAGAGACGTGGCCCAGACTTCCGGGGGCCCACGCATCGAAGCATTGAAGCAGCCCGACGTCTGGGAACGAAGGCGCGAGGGCGAGAAGATGATCGCGCATCGCGGGGCGCGATAGGCGAATATAGGCGACTTCTGATGCAAACAGAACGCGCGCAGACACGACGCTCTCGCATGCCTCGTGGCGGCCGGCGTAGTGCTGGTGCATCATGCTCTGTTCGGCTATGGAGGGGCACGACCCAAGTCAGCATCACACGCCTCGTGGGCCGATTTCTGGTTTCCATGCCGCCTGCCCGCGTCCTTCATCTCCCAGGCCACGACCCGAGGGCCAAGGCCGAGCCCCCGCGCCTTCGTTCTCTGCCCGCTCGCGAGAGTGGGCGTGGAGAGCATCCGCCTCCCTCAACCTGCTTGCTGCGTCTCCCGCGGCTGCCTACCCGAGCAGACGGACCGTGGGTCGGCGGTCGAGGCCGGTGCGGGCTCGGGCTGCGTGCCAATAGTGCGCGCCCGCTCGGTTCTCGCACGGCAGCGAGCCCTGCACGGCGCCCGGTGGCGCCATCGTCGCGCAGCGTAGCGTCATACGTCCGAGGCGGGGATGCAGGACAGCTTGGCGGGCTCAATTGTTATGCTCGTCGTGCGGCGTCGGGAAGATAGCCCTCTGGAGGGGCAGCGGATGGGGCGGGCTGCGCGTAAAAAAAAAAAAAAAAAAAAAAACTTCGAGGCAGGAATTGATGCATGACCACCGCCTGGAGGGTCAGTTCTCGGAGCCTCGGCAGGAGGTGGATGTGGATCTATTCGGGCCCCCAGGGGCCGAAATCGATTCCATATCCACCGCCCGCTGGGGCACCAGGACGTCGGTGCCCGGGCGGTGGGTATGGCTAAGTCCCCGCCTCGCAATGCTTACCAGCACGATCAAGGCAGGTTGGCTCAGTAGAGCAGCCGTCCCCAGTGTCGGCATCGTGCGCCTTCTGTGTTGATGCGCAGCTCGGCGGCGAGCCCAGCTTGGCAGGTGAGAGGGCGAGGCGGCTTCCCGCTGGGCCTTCGGAGAAGCCCCCCCTGCCCTCGGAGAGTGCTCAGAAGCCGTCTCGGAAGGCGCGATGGCCCCTGAGAAGTCTCGCCCCCTCCCACTTGGCCCCCTGGGCCCGCAGCCGACCGGTGTCCGAGATCCGACGCAGCAGCGAACAGATGGCGAAATTTCACATCCTCCTCCGCCCCTCCTCCCCCTCCCTCTCCTCCTCCTCCTCCTCCTCCTCCTCCTCCTCCCTCCTCCTCCTCCTCCTCCTCCTCCTCCTCCTCCTCCTCCTCCTCCTCCTCCCCAGGCCCCCTCTTTCTGCGCCACACCTCCAGCCGAACCGGCAGGCGAGGGTCCCAGGGCCCGTCACTGGCCGGGGCCGAGACGCCCGGCTCGACAAGAGTGAGCTGCCAGGATCCCAAGATTCAGGAGGGGAAAAAAACACACAGACACAATTAATCGTCGATCCCCAGGAAAATATGCGAAATATGGGAATTGGGGGGGAAGACAAAAACCCAGAAAATATGAGAAAATATGGGGAATCTTTTTATTTGTGTGTATTTATTTGTGTGTTCTGGGGCCCCTTTAAAGATACTTCTCCACGGGCTCGCCGAAGCATCGCCGATTGAGCGTCGATTAGCGTCTCTCAGCGTCGACCAGCATCGATGTGGCGTCGATCAGCGTCGCGCAGCGTCGGCTCGCAAGAGCCAGCAGCACGGCACCGGAAGTTTTCCCAGAGTCGCCACAGGAGACGGGGGGTCTCCTCGGGGGCGCGAATGGATTCCCGCTTCGCGCTTCGCGGTTCGGCTCGGAGTCTTCCTCATCCTCCTTTTCCTTTTCTCCCCAGGGGAGCGGCGCGAGAGCGCGAAGTTGTTGGCGTTTGCCACCGAAGACCCGAAGAATCGGGTCATCGAGGATTAAAAGCCCTAACCCTAATAACACGATGAAGACGCAGCCTCACTGAGATCCCCACCTTTGCGTTAGGGATATGTACTAGATCTGGGCTGGTTGGTTCGATACATCTACAGAGAAAGGCCCCCTATGCCTAACGTCTCTGGCACTCCTAAATGAGAACGACTCCCAAAGGGTTAGGGGTCTTTTTATGCCTCATCATTGGCAGGAGGAGGAGGAGGAGGAGGAAGAGGAGGAGGACCAGAGTAAGAGGACAAGTGTAAACTAAGCACAAGAGTCATCAACGACGTTGGAAGAAACCCCCCCTTCAAGTTCCCTCTTCATAGGCCCCTACAACGGCTCATTTCCATTGAAGGAACTTCCTTTTTGGAAGACAACCGTTTGGAGACCCTCAAGCATGCCAAAACATCGTTCTCGGGATTCCAACGCAACGGATCAACTTGGCTGTTGCGTCTTGACAATCCTGAGTCGTGCCAAGCCGCCAATTCTGGGACTACCACAAGCGAATCAACCCGCATAATCCTGAATCCTTTCAAAACACAATTTCTGGCACGTTGATGATGGGAATCCGTGAAACTCTTGCAGTTGTTACAACGAATGTGCGCCGCGCTCAGGCGAGAACCACATTTTGAAAAGGAACCACCTTCAATCCGTGAAACTACTGCAATGTTTTAAAACGCATGTGCGCCGCGCTAAGCCGAGGGCCACATTTCGAAAACAACACGCCCTCAATGTGTGAAACTTTTTGCACATTTCTAAAAAGAATGTGCGTGGAGCTAAGGCGATAGCCACAGTTTGAAAACCACCCGCCCTCACTCCGCGCAATTCTTGCAATTGCTTGAGACGAGTGTGCGCTACGCAAAGGCAAGAGCCACATTTTGAAAACGACCCGCCCTCAATCCGTGACACTCCTTTCAATATCTTGTTTAAACGAGTGTGCGCCGCGCTCACGCGAGAGCCACATTTTGAAAACAACCCGCCCTCAATGTGTGACACTCTAACAAATTTCTGAAACGAATGTGCGCGGCGCCAAGGCGAGAACCACATTTTGAAAACCACCCGCCATCAATCCGTGAAACTCTTGCAAGTGTTTAAGACGAGTGTGCGCGACGCCAAGGCGAGAGCCACATTTTGAAAACGACCCACCCTCAATCCGTAAAACTACTGCAAGTGTTTCAAACGAATGCGCGCCGCGCTTTGGCGAGAGCCACATTTTGAAAACGACACGCACTCCATCTGTGAAGCTGTGGCAAATGTTTGAGCTTCAGGGTCATAAGTGGTGGGGAAGTCTCAGGCGAAACGCCCTGCCCGCCCTAAAAAATCGCCTCGGGGTGCGACAGGGAGAAGTTATTCGCAAGGGAAAGGAATGGAGGAGGAGGAGGAGGAGGAGGAGGAGCATGGGGAGGAGGGGGAGGAGGAGGAGGAGGAGGAGGAGGAGGAGGAGGAGAGGAGGAGGAGGAGGAGAGAGGAGGAGGAGGAGGAGGAGAGGAGGAGGAGGGGGAGAAGGAGGAGGAGGAGGAGGAGGGAAGGAGGAGGAGGAGAGAGGAGGGAGAGGAGGAGGAGGAGGAGGAGGAGGAGGAGGAGGGGAGGAGGAGGAGGGGGCGAAGGAGGAGGAGGAGGAGGAGGTGAACGAGGAGGGAGGTCCTCCTTCTCCTCCTGGAGGAGAAGGAGGAGGGCGAGGAGGAGGGGCGAGGGGGAGGAGGCGGAGGAGGGCGAGGAGGAGGGCGAGGAGGAGGGCTTGCCCCCGAAGACCCGACAGACCCCGGGAGTGCCCTGCGGCCCGAGGCTGTGCACGCTCGCGGCCGGCGGCGGCCACGCCCCGGCCGAGCCGGGCGAGGCGCCGCCGGGCGCGGGCCCCGGGCCCGGCGGCGGGCCGCGCCGCGGCGGGCCGCGGCCGGAGCGCCGCGTGCGGACGCCCAGCTCGGAGGGGGGCGTGCTCGGGGTGCATCGGCGGCCCTCCTCTCCGCACTTGTCGGGTATGGCCTGAACCCCGGGTCAGGGTAAAGCGACGCGAAGATCGGGACAAAATCGGATTGGGATAACTCGAAGTCTCTGAGAATCGGCGGGTTTGGAGGATGTATTGGGCGCCGCGGCCGCTCCAGAGCGTTCCTGGAGCGATTTACCCCGATCCCAGCCCTGTTTTAAAGGGGACCCAGTTAGTGGTAGGGCCCCGGAGCCTTCGAATTGGCCAGAATCACCAAGCCAGGTCTGCCGTAGCTGGTGCGTCTTCGGGTGACGGCAGTTCCGGCTAGTGGAAATGGGACGGGGGGGCGCCCCCGGTACAGATCACTAAACCAGGTTCCACTAAACCCAGTTGTACCAACGCCCAAATTTAAGTCGGGCCTGTCCCTCTACAGGGGGAACTTTCAACAAAAAAGTTGAAAACAAACAGTCTGGGGACGGTTTGGTTTGACCATCTTGGAGCATGTTGGGGGGTACTTTTAGGGGTATCTTTTATTTTTCGTCCGAAACCCGTTTGCCTCCGGGGTGTCTTGGGTTTCTTGGGTTTCGATGGTTTTGCGCGGGACAGCGTGACGTTCCCACACCAAAAATCGATGGACGTCCTGGGGTCCCAGGGTTGGGTTTCTTGTGGAAGGTTTCTTGTGGGCTGGCCTCCATTGCAGATGGGGTCGGAGTAGATGGGGTCGGAGGATCGCGCCGTATCGCCGATGCATCGCCGATGTGGCTCGATGTGGGGCCCGATGTGCTTCACGTCGACGTCGCCGATGCATCGCCGACGTCGACGATGCATGTCTGGTGCATCGCCGATGCATCGACGGTGCATCTGCGATGTGGCGTGCCTCTCCGGCCACGTCAGCTCGGACCCCATCCCAGGGTGCCTCTATCATCGCGTCCATGCGGCGCGATCCCCGACCCCATCTACAGTGGGGGCGCGCATCAAGACACCATATGCTTTTCGTCAGGGTATCCTGGGTTTCTTCGCTCCTCGCGCTGCGCGATGACTTCCCGCAGCCATTGAGGGAGCTGCTGCGTTCAGGGTGCTTCAGGTTTCCCCTCAAGTGCACCTCGCGCACGGGTTCTCAGGGCTGGGTTTCTTGCGAGGGTTTCTTGCGGCCGCGCCAGCACTGGTAATCTCAGTCAAGAGCCCGCACACCAAGAATGAGCAACTTTCCAAGGCTACCCTCGCATCAATGCCCCTGCGGTCCAGTGGCTTTCGCTGGCCAACCTCGTTCGAAAAGCGTTAACATGGCCCTCCAAGGCCCCGTGCACCCTTACCGCGCATCCTTAGCACACGGCCTGACCGTACTCGGACCCCCACTTGGAAGGCCTCGATCGAGGCATCGGCAGCCCGGTCATCAGAGGAGAACAAAAGTACCGATACTTACAGGCCTCCCATATGGGGTCGGAGCACATGAGGCCCTAGGTCCTTGTGACGAACCCTTTAGTGTTGGCCCGCTTGGCCAAGAATCAATCACCCGCGATACGGGGTACAATACTGCGTCGCCGATGTCTTGATGTGCGCTTGGGGAAAAAAATGGGGTCGGAGCACATGGGGTCGGTTTCACCTAGGGTCGGGGAACAAGAGGCGGCATAATGATGCATTGTCGGAGGTCCGCGCGGCGTTACTGGATCGGCGCTGGATCGCGCCAGGGGCGGCGCCCGAGGCGCCGCCAGAGGGGGCCCTGCGCAGCTCCAGGAACTCCGCGCGGAGCTCCGAGAGTTCATGCTGGTGCAGTGTTTGCGTCTTCTGTCAGGGGCGTCCGAGAGGGGGGTGATGACAGGGGCGGTGTGGATGTCATGCCCTGAGCCATGGTCTAGCCCTCCCACATGGGGCCGGAGTGGATGGGGTCGGGAGATCGCGCCGCATCGCCGATGTGTCGGCGATGCGGCGCGATCCTCCGACCACATCTACTCGGAACCCATCTAGGAGGCCTCCACATGGGATCTCTCAAGAGTTCATGGCCCCTTTTCTTCTTGCAATGCGTTCCCTGGCTGGGCCGTCCCCCCAGGCAGTACTCGAGGGCGTCGGCGGCCCTCCCCGCGGGGTCGGAGGATCGCGCCGCATCGCCGATGCATCGGCGATGCGGCTCGATGTGGGGCCCGATGTTCTCCACGCCGACGGCCCCGATGCGTCGCCGAGTTCGCCGATGCATCACCGACGCATCGGCGATGCGGCGCGATCCTCTGAACCCGTCTACTCTGACCTCTCTCGGGATGCCTCTATCGAGGGCATTGAGGCAGATTGAGGGCCATCTCACCAGAGGTAGAAGAGAGATACTGATATCGCTGATCGTCCTTGAGAGCCTTCGTCGCCAGGGGTGGATTCGCATCGAACTCCTGGTCAGAATGCACGCCAGAATAGGTCCGTGGAGTAGCGGTATCGGTACCCTTTTGCTCCCCCATCTCAGCGCCACCGAGGCCCCAATGTTCGGGATACGGCTCGGAGCCGTCTGCGCCGACACAGGCGCGCAAAACTACGGGGCCGTCTGCGCCGACACTGGCGCGCAAGCTGCCCGCGCCGGGTCGCGCGTGAGCGCCCTCGCCTCCAGTGTGGCGTGCCGCGCGGGTGGCCCGCGCACGCCGCCGCGGCAGGCCGCCATATGCCATCTCGCGCAAGGACCTGTTCTTGATCGCCGTGTTAATTCAAGCTGTGCGCGGCCCGCTGAGCTTCGACCGGAAGAGGAGGGGGAGGAGGAGGGGGAGGACGATGAGGAGGAGGAGGAGGAGAGGAGGAGGAGGAGGAGGAGGAGGAGGAGAGGAGGAGTTGGAGGAGGAGGAGGAGGAGGATGGAGGAGGATGGCGGAGGCCTCCAGCGGACTTCTTGGATTGGCACTGGGCCCCCGCACTGGGCCCCCGCCCTTCGACCGGAAGAGGTGCGCTCTCGACCCGCGAATCAAAAAAAGGTGTTGATCGCCGCGCAATATCGCACACAGAGCAGACGCCCCCGGAGGCCCACGCGGCCTGCGTGGCTGGGCCCCCGGGCCCCCCTTGGCGGTGCCCCCGGGCCCCGCCCCTGGCGCCGCCCCCGGCGCTGCCCCCGCACGCGAGGGCGGGGGCCCGGTGCCAATCCAAAAAGTCCGCTTGAGGCCTCCGCCATCCTCCTCCATCCTCCTCCTCCTCCTCTCCTCCTCCTCCTCTCTCCTCCTCCTCCTCCTCCCCTCCTCCTCCTCCTCCTCCTCCTCATCCTCCTCGTCCTCCTCCCCCTCCTCCTCCTCGTCCCCCTCCCCCTCCCCCTCCTCCTCCTCCCCCTCCCCCTCCCCCTCCTCAGTTTAAGGCTGCGTTGTTGATCCTGACTCTGTCGATCGAACTGTGTGCGGTGGGACCGAGGTGTAACATCGAGGTCGGACCGGGGAGGGTACTTTCATGTTTCTCGTGCTTGTTGGGTGTTCCTGCTTTGAGCAGGGTTGGCTGTCGGCGTCGCCGCGAGCGTTGTCCATTTGTTTGGGACACTCGTCGCCCGCCCAACAATCGGCGGCGAGCGAGGGCGGGAGGTAACAAGGGGCGGGCCTTCTCAGAAGGCTCGGAGGTCCCCCAGCCTTCTCAGAAGTTTTCTAAGCCTTCCCCGAAGACACAGAAAACTTCTCCGAAGGCGCGAGGGCTTCTGAGAAGTCCCGCTGCCTTCCGGGAAGACCTTCTCCTTCTCACTTCCCCCCTTCGCTCGACGCCGAAACAATGACCGCCTGTGGTGTTGGGCAAACAGTCGCTGTTGGGCCTCGTGCTTTTTGTTCCCTTGCCCGTGCCGGACGTGGCGCAGTGGCAAGTGGGTCTTTTGGGGATCGCTCTTTCTCCTCCTCCTCCTCCTCCTCCTCGTCGTCGTCCTCCTTCTCCTCCTTTCCACATTCCTTATGAATAACTCATCCCTGTCGCAGCCCGAGGCCAGTCGAAAGGGCGGGCCAGGCGTTTCGCTTGAGACTTCCTCATTGTCTGTGACCCTGAAGCTAAAACATGTGCAACAGTTTCACACATGGAGGGCGGGTGGTTTTCAGAATGTGGCTCTCGCCTCAGCGCCGCGCACATTCGTTTTGAACATTGCAAGAGGTTCATGGATTGAGGGCGGGCGATTTTCAAAATGAGGTTATCGCCTTAGCGCCGCGCACATTCGTGTTCACCACTTGCAAGAGTTTCACATATTGAGGGTGGTTGGTTGTCAATATGTGGTTCTCGCTTTAGCACCGCGCACATTCGTCTTCAATATTTGCAAGAGACTCACGAATTACAAGCGGCTGGTTTTCAAAATGTGTGTCTCGCCTTAGCGCTGCGCACATGTGTGTAAACAAATCGCAAGAGTCGTTCGGATTCCCATGGTCAACGTACCAGACATGGTTTTGAAATGATTCAGACTTGTGAGGGTGCAACAGTTATGTTGATTCGCAGTATTGAAGTCACAGGAATGGTGTTCTGTCACGATTCAGGATCGTCAAGACGCAACAACCAGGTTGATCCGTGGCGTTGGAACCCCGAGAATGGTGTTTTGGCATGACTCAGGGTCTTCAACCGGTTGTCTCCCAACGCGGCAGGTCCTTCAGTTGAAATGAAGGGGGTTCGGAAGGAGGGTTGATTCCAACATCGTTGATGAATAGTGGGTTTACATTGTTCGTCGTCCTTCTCCACCTCCTCCTCGTCCTCCTCCTCCTCCTCCTCATCCCCCTCCTCCAGGAATGGGGGATGGAGGATGGACGCCTCCCCCCTCCTTGCGTCTCTTCCTTCGTGATGGCCGCCGATGCCTGGGCGGGCCCCCCTCCGACCGGCGAGCTGGCCGCGGAGCTCGGCGCAGAAAGCGCGCGGTGGATGGCGACGGCGGTCTGCCACGACGCAGCTCGCCCCTCCCCCTCGGGGGCAACGATGGTGGGCGATAGGCACCAGGGGCGATGCATCGACCCCCAATTGCCCATGGA